GGGAGGAGGCAGAGGGGTGGGAAGAGGACTCCAGTCACTGGGGAGAGGGGGACACGGGAAGATGGGCTGGGGAATGGGGAGGGGACCCAGGCCCGGGGCAGCCGGAGCAGAGAGCCAGCCCCTCCAGATGCTGGGGCTGCCAGCCTGCAGCCCAGGGGGCGGACAGGGCTGCGTGCAGGAGCTGAGGCTGACAGGGCCTGATGCTCCCTGAGCCCAGAGCTGGCAGGAGACCCGGGGCAGGTGGTGGCAGAGATGCAGGGATGGGCGAGACAGCCAGAGAGGCTGGCGCAGGACAGAGTCAGAGCCATGAGGCTGAGAAAGACCAGAGTGCAGAAGGCAAAGAAGAAAGAAAAATTTTAAAAACCAGGAGAACCCTTCACAGACCCCAGGCCGCGGCCCACTCCCATCGCCAGCAGGGTCCAGGCTGGCACGGCCTAGGGTCCCAGCCTGCTGGGCTGGGCTGGGCTGGCAAACCGGATGGCACAGGCTGCAGCAGAGGCAGATGGAGCAGGGAGGGGGCCTGACCCCCGGCCCACCGGGGAATGGCTGGGATTGTCTATTCTTTGAAGCCCTCCCACTGCCCCCCAAACCTCCTGCCTCTGGGAGCATGGCTGGGGAAACAGAGGGAAAAAAAGGAGAAAAAAAAAAAAAAAAAAGAAGCCACATTTCAGAGCCAGCGTCTCCACCTCCTCCTGCTCCCTTTGGCTTTCTTTCCCTGCCAGTGGCACGTGCTGCCGGCTCCCAGCCTGGCTCTGGCAAAGGCCAGGACGCTGCTGGGGAACGGGGGGCATGCAGGGTGATGTAGGAGAGAGGGAGAGAAGAGGGGAAGACTCCGGGAGGCAACATCTTAGAGGGGAGTAAGAGGAAGGTGAGGAAAATCACCCTGCACCATCGTGTTTTGAGCAAGCGCTTACCTCGCCCCAAACCCCATTGAGCACTTTACAAGTTTTAACTCATTTAATCCTCCCAACAGTCCTAATTAGCAGGTGCTATTGTTCTAATCTCCATTTTATAGATGAGAAACTGAGGCAGAGAGAGGGTGAGTGACTGCCCAAGGTGACAAGCTCCTTGGCAGGGAGAGTATTTGAACCCAGGACAAGTTCAAAGTCCATGCTCTTAGCCACCACATCCTACTGTCTTTCACACGCCTTGCCCACATTTTGTGACTTTAAATTGCTTTTTTCCTTTTTTGCCCCATCTTTTCTCAGCACCGTGGCAGGAATGGCCGTGTGCAAACACATACATGTGTGAACACACGAACACTCACATGCATGACTGTTGGGGGGTCCACGTGCATGTGAATGTATTACACACCTGTACACAAGAAGCATGCACATCCATGCGTTCGTGTATATGTACGCAGGCCCGTTCACATGTGTGAGGCCACCGTACACACCACACCCTGGGTAGGTCTTGCGTTCTCATCCACAGAGCATTAACTGTGGCAAAATCATCCCAAACGATAGTGGAGCCAAAAAAAATCTGTTTGGCTTTGCAATAAAGTGCTGCTTGGCATATGGGGTTTTTGGCAATACAGTTACCTTTCTAGGGTTAGCTCGGGCTGATGTGGCTTCCTGCACGTCTCCAGCTGCCAGGAGAATCAATCTCTGAGAAGCCGCCAGCTGCCAGGCTGCACGGCACCTCGCAGACGTCCTCTCCACTCCCCACAGCAGCACCTGGGGCAGGTCTTGCCGTCCCATTTTACAGATGAGGACCCTGAGATGCGGAGAGTTGCCATGTGTGCAGAGTCACATGGGGACAGTGAGGATTCGAACCCCAGGGAAGCCCCGGGGTCTGTAAAGCTTGAGTGCCTGCAGGTGGGTTGGCGAGCCAGACATGTGACTTCCCAGGCGTGCCTCATCCGTCTGGAATGTGGCTGCCTCACCGTCTGGTCACGTCTGGGTCCCGCTCTGTGGCCAGGCTGGTGGGTGGGGACGGGCCGCAGCAGGCTCGTGCTGACATACCCTGCAGAAGGCCCCACACAGGGCCGGGGCAGCGAGGTATGAAAAAGCCTTTTCCCCAGTGATGACGAATTCGACGGTGACGGCCAAGATGGCACAAAGACCAGAGAGACGTCTCATGACCACCTAGACTTAGGCACAGCCATTCCTTCCATATTTCTCAAGTACCTACTATGTGCCTGGCATTTATTGGGCTTTGAAGACAGTGCAAACAGGAATCAAGCTTGGACCCTGCCTTCCTTCCAATAGCTTAGGAGACCAGCTTTCAGGTCTGGAAATAGCCTTAATACAAGGTTAAAAGAAACCTAAATGCTATTAGAGAAATGCAGATGAAAAGCGAGAGGCTATTTCCAACTGGGAACATCAAGGCGGCAGCAAGAGGCTAGAGATGGGCTTTGAAGAGCGGCTGTGACTTGACGAGGCAATGGAGGAGACGTGGTTCTTGCTTTTCCGAAGAGCACAGTTCAAGGCACAGGATGGGATATTGGCAGGTGGGCACAGAAAGATCAAGGAGCTCCATTTTTCTGTGACAGGACCATGTGAAGGGAGTGGTGGTGGTGGGGGGGGGTTAGGGACAAATGACAGAAGATCTTGAGACCCAGGACAAGGAGCTTAGACATTATAGACAATAGGGAGCCACTGAAGATTGTTGAGCAGGAGAAGGCATTGGGAACTGTGTTTCATTTAGGCCCGACTAATCTGCAGTTGTGAGCAAAGTAGTGGATTAGAATATACATGCATGCATACACATACAGGTATATCCTCAGACATGTGCGGGACACGTACACAAATGTACAGCCCGAAAGCATAGGGTTAATTCCTGAGCCCAGCTATTTAAAAATTTTGAATTATATTTGTTTATTTGAATAGATAATACACTCGTGGTGTCTAAAATTTAAATGGAATATAAGAGAATACGCTGAAAAGTAAACCTACCTCCTACTCTATGCTCCAGGCCCCCAGCTCCCCTGTCTAAAAGCAAGCACAGTGGCCAGTCCGAAGGCTTCCTTCCAGAGATGTTCTGGGCTTAGATAAGCAAATATCCAGCTGGAATTTTACTATATACATTTTTCTGCACCTTGCTTTTCTCATTTAATGATATACCTTGGAGATCCTTACGCATCAGTTCATGGAGAGCTGCCTTGATCTTTTTAACAGCAGCATCCTACTCCATTGTAGTTGGACATTTCCATTATTTCTGCTCTTCGCTCTTACTAAAAATGTTGCAGTGAATAACCTTGACCATATGTCATTTTGCATATTCATCTATTCATTAATTCAACAGGCATTTATCAAGCACCTACCATATGCTGGGCATTGTTCCAGGTGCCAGAGATAGAACAGTGAACAAAGCAGGCAAAAGTCTCTGCCCTCGTGCAGCATACCTCCTAGCGTGCTCGCATGAGTACGTCTTCAGGATTCCTAGACGTGGAATCGCCGGATCACAGTGTCTGTGCATTTTTAAAGTTTAGTAGATAAAGGCAAATCCAATGCCCTAGAGAGACTGCACCCATTCACCCTTGCAACGGATGAGAGTTCTGTTTTCCCGCACTTTTACCAACAACGTGTTATCAAACATTTTGATCTTTGCCAATGTAACAGGCGAAAAACGATTGTAATTTGAATTTGCATTTCTCTTATGATGAGTGAGGTTAAGCATCTTTTCACATATTTAAGAGCAATTTTCAGGCCCTTTCCTGTCAACTTTCTGATATCTTTTGCTCATATTTCTGTTAGGTTATGGTTCTTTTTCATACTGATTTGTGGATTCTTTATCTATTAAGGAAATTAGCCGTTTGCTCACAATATGGGCTGCAAATATTGTTTCCCTAGTTTGTAATTTGTTTGGGGGACTTTGCTTATGGTGTTTTTTTTTTTTTAATGCAGACTTTTAAAATGTGAAGTAAAATTTAAGAGGAATTCTGCAGATTCTCAGCTTTGCCTCCCGATGGTGAAATGTTTGCTAAGTTAGCGAGAGATACAGGTCGCAGGAATGTGGTCCTGGATTCCACTAACAGGAGCACAGGTTCTATCTAGGCAAAGAAAGGTGATAGTCCTACCCTTTTCTGGTGCCCTGTCTTAAGAGGTCTTTGGACAAAGGACAGCAAGCTCAGAGGAGGGTAACCAAGATGGCTACTAGGCTTTAAATCAAGTCACATAAGAACTGGTGTCTTTGAGCCTAGAGCAAACCACTATCTATGACCTTAGGCTATGGGACTAGCCTCGTGATGCAAAACCAGCACCTATGATACAGATTCTGGGAAGCCAAGTGCCAGGTAATGGGGCTCTTTCCAGGCACAGCTGTCTGAGATGGAATGGCCTGCTTTGTGAAGAGGTGGGCTCCTTATCACTAGAGACGTACAAACCAGAACTGGATGACCACCTACCAAAGATGCCAGGGATCAGCCCAGATGCCTTTCAAAACTCCTTCCAATCCTGAGACCTCATCATTCTACAAGACCACAAGGAATCTCAAAATTCCTCAGTTTACAGATGAAGAAAAGGGGGTGGGAAATTGGCATGCACTGAGTACCTACTTTGTCCCAGGCACTTCAACGCACATGGCCTCATTTAAAAGGATGAGGACCAGAGAGGTTGAGTGATTCACCTAAGGCTGCACAACAATCAAGAACTGGAACCCAGATCCCTAGACTCCAAATCTAGAGCTCTCTCCATGGAGCCACCTGCCCCTATTGAATAATTAAACACATGGTTAGTGCATACCTATTGTATACCTACTCTGAATGGATGTTAGTGTTGACAATGAGAGCACGTTATATACAGGCTATTAGTAAAGTCACAGGGTCTTTGCTCTGTGGAAGGTCACTGCCTAGTGAGTAACTACCATCTCTGCATTGTTTGACTCAATGTGAATGGTGCCATCGGAGCTGTGCAGTGTGGTAGCCCTGGCTAGACCAGTAATGAAATAGCAATTTGGTAAGTACTATAATAAAATCATGCACAAGGTGTCATGGGAACACAGAAGGCATGATTAATTCTACCAGGGAAGGAAATCCAGGAAAGCTGCACAGGGGAGGTGACATCTGAGCAGGGCCTTGAAAGATATGGAAAAGAACAAAGGGCAGAGGAGACTGATGTATATATTCATCCCACAAACATTTATTGAGCAGCCCCAGCTTGCCAAGGATTGATGAGTAATTCTCGGTCCAGCAGAGAAGACAAATCGCCAATAAATTGCCATGAGTGTAAGTGCAACCGTGGAAACACGCTCACAGAACAAAAGTGGTGATAACTTTCCCCTGGAATAAAGTGAGGGGTCTGGGAAAGCCCCTAGAGAAGTGATACCTGAGATTTTTGGAAGAAAAACAGAAATTTTCCAGGCTGATAATGAGGCAGTTGGGAGAGAGGGAAAAGCATTCCAAGCAAAGGGAATGGCATGTGCAAAGTTTCTGAGTCTTGAGAGATCATCCATTCTATCTTCAGGTACCCAAAGCAGTTCTGAAAGGCTTATGTGTAAAATGTTGGAGTGGTGGGCAGGCAGGCAGGAGGTGGAATTGACATTCAGGCTTTGGGGCGGGACCTACCAGGTTTCCAGATGAATGGGAAAACCTCGTTGGTGTGCATCAGGGTTTAGCAGGCTTAGCAACCTTCCCTTCAAAGCCATGCCCCAGATTGAAAGCTGGAAGAGAGAAAAGTGTGAGCCACAAATCCCCATCTCCTCCCCACCGGCTCTCCAGTCCCACCGCTGCGACCCTGGCTAATCCAGCCTCCTGGCCCATCTGACACACACTTCCACTTAACATTTTGTTAGCGACTCTATAAACGAGCTCTCCCTGACCTTCAATCCCTGGCTAATTGCTGGTTTCATGTACAAGACTAGCTTAATTTTACGTGATAATTACCTGAGAGTGGCAATACATATGGCATTGCATGTTTGAAATGTCAGGCCTGGAAAACTACCAAGTGGCCGTAGTCAGGGGCAAAGGGAGGAGGCATCTGGAGGCGGAAAGGAGAGACAGAAAGCACTCAGTGCAGACAGACCTCCAGACAACTGGGGCCCTGGCCTGCAGTAGGGCCCAGAATCCTTGATGGGCATGGTATACCCAGGGACACAGGCCAGACAAGCAGCACATGAATTTCACAGTCACGTGCACATGCACACTGCTCAGAGAAACACGGACCAGTTCAGGGGCACGGCTCATATATGTTCTTTGTTACCCTTTTCAACAAATGCTCACTGAGCTCCTACTACATGCCAGGCAGTGTGTAGGAACTTGCATGGTTTCAAACCCCCATCCTACCCAGAGAGGGCAGAAACATGTGGAGGGTAGTGTTGGGTTGTCATGGCTATTTGGGGGATGCTGTAGGCACTAAATAAGCAAGTCCCAGGAATCCTAAATGGCCTGCCAATTCCCAGCAATAAAGAATTGGCCACCCTAAATTTTTTTTTTTTTGAGACAGAGTCTTGTGCTGTTGCCCCAGCTAGAGTACAGTGGTGTCACTATAGCTCACAACAACCTCAAACTCCTGACCTCAAGTGATCCTCCCACCTCGGCCTCCCAGAGTGCTAGGATTACAGGTGTGAGCCACCACACCCAGCCCAGCCCCCCTAAATTCCTATGGTGGCTCTGCTGTGAAACCCTCACACTAAGCCAGGGCCACGGCCTTGAAGAAGCTGAGCGGCCTCTACAGTCTTGGAGCTTACAGTGGGGGAAGGATGGACAATAATGGCGAGGGATTGTAATGTGTGAGAGGACAGTAATGAAAGGGGACCCGGGACATGTAGCAGGTGAACTGACAGAGTCCAGGGTTGAAAAAAGACCTCCTTTCAAGAGTGCCATTTCATTGATTTGGTATATGTGGGCAAAAAAGAAAAAGAAAAAAAAAAAGTGCCATTACAGAAATAAGCAAGACACACAAAAAAACTAACACGGTATGGCTGCATCATGTGCCTAGAGCAGTCACGTTCACAGAGACAGAAGTAGCATGCTGGTTGCCAGGCCTGGGGGTAAGGCAGAGAAGAATGGGGAGTTATTGCTTAATGGGTACAGGGTTTCAGTTCAGGATGACGAGAAAGTTCTGGAAATGGACGGCAGTGATAGTTGCACAATACAAATGTACCTAATGCCACCTAACTGTATGCTTAAAAATGGTGAAAATGATAAATTTTATGTTACGTATATTTTACCCCAATTTTTACAAAGTGTCATTTCGGCTGCAATCTGAGGGCTGGTCAGGACACAACCCATTCGTTCGTTCCCTACCCAATACTTGAGCAGCCCCAGTCATGCACAGGGCCAGAAGAATTTCCATCCCCGTCATCTCAGGATGGATGCATAAGAGCGGGACCAATAACACTCAGCAGAAACATGCCAGGGAGGACTCGGGGAATGAAAACTTTGTGGAGAAGTGGCCGTGACACAACCTTGAGAGGCTGGTAGCACTTGCACAGGCCTAGATGGCAGTCTGGAAACTGCCTCTGTCCCCAAGGCAATTTGGGGGGAAAAGAGCTGTTTACTATAGGGATGGAAGACCCATGTCTCCCCACCCCCAGCATCTCCAGGGTCTGCAACAGTGCTTGGCATGAAGATGAATGAATACAAACCAGTATCTGTGTGTGTCTATGCCACGTGCCGTACACCTGGGTGCACACCTGCCCTGCAGACAGACGGCTCAGGCTCATGTTTTCCTCCTCACTCCAGGGAACAGGACAAGGCAGGCAGAGTCCAGGGCCCTCTGGAGCATAGGCAGAAAAGGAAAGGGTGTCCCTGGCCACCTGGGAGGACCTTCCATGGGAAGTGCATTTGAGCACACTCAAATGCACACAGGCCACAGGATAGGGTAAGAGGCCCAGTTAAAGGTGAGTTCTAGAAGCCCCATTAGCCCCCTTACCCATGGAATTGTGGACTCCTGAGCTGTGTTGGAGTAAATTACTTGCTTAATGAGATTTCAATTAACAAAAACAAATTAAAAATCACTTGGTAATTAAGCTGCTCTGAACCTCACCAGCAGCTCTCCCTCAGACCTGGGATTTCCATGGGGAAGGAGCTGGGAATGGGGGTCCACTTGGACTCGGGCAGCAACGTTGCTGGGGCCTCCCCTGCCCTACCGAGGCATCCTGGAGCCAAAGGTGGATGGGTGGGAGGGGCCTTTCATAGCAGGCAAAGTGGGCTCTAAACTGGAATTCAAATTGTATTTCACCCTGCCACTAGGTGCTGTGTGACCAAGGGCACGTTAATTAACCTGTCTAAGCCTCAGTTTCCTCATATGTGAAATGGGGATAATAATAGGAGCTACATCACTGGGTTGTGGAAAGATTGAACGAATGAATGAGAGGATTTAGAAGAGGGCCTGTCCCACAGCAAGGGCTCTTAACTCCTTTTATCCTGTGTGGTGCTACAGGGGGACTTTTCCAGCCTTGCGATTTGCACTGTCCTGATTTCCTAAACCCTCCAGGGCAGCCCTGTTTCTCAGAGGTAGGGGAGTGAGGATCTACCGCAGAGGTTCTCTTAGTGAGGTTTCTCCAAGTTCTGTCCCACGCGGGCCCCATCTCTTTCCATCGGAGCCAGCAGGTCCAATCTGGAAGCTATAAAGCTTTCTCTTCTCCCATCTCCTGGAGAACAAACAAATACTCCTGTCCCTGGGTTGCACAATCATCCACATTTTCCCACATGACAGTCCTAGAACGTTAAGTGGCGCCAGCATCAGTGGCCCCATTCCACAGATGAGCAAATGGACTAAAGGCTCACCCGGTGGTTGAAGGAGAACAATGCCCAGTGCTGGGAGGAACCCCAAGAAGCCACGCTCTCACCCCTTGCCAATAAAACTGTAAAAGCAGGCCGGGCGCTGTGGCTCACGCCTGTAATCCTAGCTCTTGGGAGGCCGAGGCGGGCGGATTGCTCAAGGTCAGGAGTTCAAAACCTTAATACTTGGACTCCCATCATCTGCTTGAAAAGAGAGAGAAAAGAAAATGCAATAATGGGGATAAGAGACACTTTTTAAAAATAATGAATCTATACAGGTTAAGGAGTAGGATGGAAACTCATGGGAGAGAAATGAAGAGGCTGGCAGAGTGAGATCATGGAAAGAGCCTTAGCCATGCCTAGTAACATTGGCACTACAGAGCGGGATTCTAGAACATTAGCAGTACTGAGGCCCATTTTAGACAATATAGTCTACATTTGTGGGGCTGAAAAGGGTGTGATGCCTTTCCTGCCCATCTAAGGCACGGCTGACACACCTGTAACAAAAGACAAGCATGACACACATTTATTTCAATCAAAGTTTCATATGGACACGAAGTCTTTAAAATAAACCCAAAACTCAGGGAAACAGTGGTTTTTCGGGTGGGTTCAGTGAAAATGGACAGTCATGTAGAAATGCAACTGGACAACAGGGTGATGGACGAGGGGAACCGGCAAGGCCTTGTGTCCAGATTTTCTGGTTTCTCCTGTGCGGCCTTCCTCCCCTGGTGTAGAGCCCATCTGGAATGAGGTCTTATGACGCTACTATCAGATAAGGAGGTCAGAGAGTTTCTTTCGTGGCCAGCTCCTACACAGAAAGGTGTGGGGATGTGTGGGAGAAATATTTCTAGTTTCTGTGGCCTACCTTGGGGAGGAACGAGAACAGAAGGAAAAAAGTGCAGAAGGTCAGAGAGGAGACTTTGCTTTGAAATCCTCAATGTCCTTCAGTTCAAGGATCAACATACCAAATTTGGACTCTCCAAATTTTGGAACTGTTTTCTGGAGCCCCAACAGCTTCATTTTGAAATGAGGAAGCTGAGGTCCAGAGAAGCAGGCTTGCTGCCAAATACTTAGGAAGGCAGAATCAATGGCATCCACTGGGATCATACCCTGGCTTGCCCTGGTCCAGGGCCCTCCTTGGGCAACACTCACCCCCTACATCCCCAGATGGGCTAGGAGTGTGAGGCACACCTTACTCTTCAGGCTCTCCTGGATGAGGCTGATTGCTCTGGACACTGTCAAAGGGCATGTGCTGCGCCCACCCACTCACCCAAACCCAACAGACCTGCCCATAAGAACAAGTAACTGGGGGGCCGCGTGCTTACACCTGTAATCCTAGCACTCTGGCGAGGCCGAGGCGGGTGGATTGTCGGAGGTCAGGAGTTCAAAAACCAGCCTGAGCAAGAGCAAGACCCATCTCTACTATAAATAGAAGAATTATTGGCCAACTAATGATATAAGAAAAAATAGTGGCCATTCGTGGCGTATGCCTGTATAGCCATTACTAGGGAGGCTAAGGCAGGAGGATTCTTGGAGCCAGGAGTTTGAAGTTGCTGTGAGCTAGGCTGATGGCCACAGCACTCCACTCTAGCTGGGCGAACCAGGAAATCTGTCTCAAAAAAAAAAGAAAAAAGAAAATGACTGCAAGCCCAACTTAATCTAGTTTAATCCAGAAGGGGATTTATTGGGCCTGTGTAACAGGAAGGGCAGGTGGGGCGCGACTTCAGGTCAGCTGGCCAGGCGCTCAAGCAATGATGGGCCAAATAGGTGCAATGCTGTGTCTCTCCGTCAGTCACATCCTCTGCTCCAATGCTTCCTCCGGTGGGTAGAGGCATGCGAAAGGACGGGGCAGGCCCGGCGGAGCTGGTAAGGCAGAGATGAGATATACTTGCCTCCCTCAGCTCTGGTTCATAAAATCCCACATGAATGTTTCAGTGGGTTCAGCTCAGGTTCAGTCCTGAGCTCAGAAAAATGGGGGAACTACAATTGGCAATGCTGGCTTCTCGTGCCACACTAGAGGCCAGGAGAGTCATGGTACAGTGATTGACAGCTCATGGAGGGAATGGAGAGGGAGACACACTGCAGAGGAAAGGGTACAGTACCTGCATACAAGGAGGGATGCTGGAGCAGTCAGAGATGCCACTCCTAGTGCTGGGCGACTAGGCACCCTTGGGTGAGTTACTGAATATTATATACAAAATAGTTTTCGGAGTATACACGTACGTACATTAATCTCATTTAAACTTGGAGTGGAGAACTCAGCTTTGAGTGTCAGCCCTGCCATTTATTCAGACAGGACCCTGGGCCAAGTCACTGAAACTTGCTGAAACCATTCTGTGAAAATGGGAAGAATATAGCCTTCCTCCAGGGGCTGTTGCAGGGTTCTCCAAAGTGTGGAGGGATGCACAGGCTGTGAGTAGGAGAGCTCAGGGTGCTCGTCCCTGATTCTGGGTGGACATCAGGAACAAGGATCTGTTTTGGCAAACCAAAAAGCGTTCAGCCAAAAGAAGCAGAGGCAGGATCGACTCTCCAGTCTGATTCGCAGAAGCCGCCGGCTGCCCTCCGGCCTGGCACTCTGCACCACAGGCGAAAGAGGGGGAAAGAGGAGTTCATGGTTATACAGGGCTGGGCAGGAAGAAGAGAAGTTTTCATTTAAAATGTTCTGAAATATTCATATTTGCTTTGGCAGTGGCGGCGTTGTGCACTGTTCATCTCTGTAATAACTTCTAGGCCTTTATTTATTGTTTGCCTTAATGATTTCGTGTTGCTCCAGTGTCTGAAAATTCTCACGTGTCTTGTAACACATAATGGGCAGAGAAGGCTCGGGCTGTGGAAGGCATGGGGGAGGGGACATGCTCCCGCACAGACCTGCTGGTCCCCTGAGATGACGAGCCTAGGGCAAGAAGCAGGAGGTTTCAAGGCTTGTGCAGTTGATCTGTGAGCACCGATTCTTCAAAACACCCTATAATACTATTATCCCCATTCAAGAAGTAATAACTGAGCTTTGGGGCAATCACTAATTCACGGCCCGATGGACTGCAGGCTGATGCACTTCTGTATACTGGTGTCTTCAACTTCGTCATGTGGTAGAATTACCCATCCTAGAGACTCTAAAAGATGAGTTGCCTAGGACCAACTACGAGATTGGAATTTGAGTAGGTCCGGATGGCACCAGAAGCTCTGTATTAACGAGGTGTCCAATAAGTCACAGCTGTGTTTGGAATCATACTGCGTGGCTGAGACCACCCTAATCACATCCCCAGTTGTACCCAGCCCCTCACGAATCGTGGTCCCACATCGTCCCATATCTCTCACAAATGTCTCAGCTACTCCGTATCCTGCTGTCAATTCCCACCCTGTATCCTGAGGGCTCAAATGTCCCCAGACTCTCAGCCCTTCTGTTGAGCCAGGGAGAGAAGGGAGGGAGGAAAGAGGCTTTCTCGGGTTGGCTATGGTGATTCTCCCACTCCGAGTCTGTGGTAGGCAACTTCATTGGTGGCTCGCAGCCAAGGCTGGAGGAAGAAGCTTCCTGCAGGGAGAGGCAGAGGTGGAAGGATCAGGTCAACTGGGGAGAGACAAGAGATGGGCGGGGAATTAAGGACCAGGCCGGCAAGCCGAGCAGAGGCAGCCTTCCAGATGGCTGGGCTGCAGCTGCACCCAGGGGGCGGACAGGCTGCGTGCAGGAGCTAGGCTGACAGGTCCTGATGCTCCCCCTGAGCCAGCGTGCGAGAGACCCGGGGCAGCGGGTGCAGAAGATGCGGATGGCGAGACAGCAGAAGCGGCGCAGGACAGATCAAGCATGAGGTGAGAAAGACCAGAGTGCAGACAGGCAAAGAAAGAGAGAAAAATTTAAAACCAGGAGAACCCGTTGCACAGACCCCAGGCCGCGCCCACTCCCATCGCCGAGCAGCGTCCAGGCTGGCACGGCCTAGCCAGCTGCTGGCTGGGCTGGGTGCAAGCCGGATGGCACAGCTGGCAGCAGAGGCAGATGGTAGCAGGAGGGGGCCTGACCCCGGCCCACCGGGGGAGATTGGGCTATTGTTCTATTCTTTGAACCCTTCCCAGCTGCCCCCAAACCTCCTGCCTCTGGGAGCAGGCTGGGGGAACAGAGAAAAAGAGAAAAAAAAAAAAAGAACCCATCAGAGCCAGCGTCTCACTCCTCCCTGTCCTTTGGCTTTCTTTCCTGCCAGTGTCACGTGCTGCCGGCCCCAGCCTGGCTCTGGCAAAAGCCAGACGCTTGCTGGAACGGGGGGCATGCAGGGTGATGTAGGGAGAGAAGAAGAGGGAGATCCGGGAGGCAACATCCTTAAGGGTAAGAGGAGGTGGAGAAAATCACCCTGACATCGTGTTTTGGCAAGCGCTTACCTCGCCCAAAACCCCATGAGCACTTTACAAGTTTACTCATTATCCCCAACAGTCCTAATAGCAGTGTATTTTCTAATTCCATTTTATAGATGGAAATGAGGCAGAGAGAGAGGGTGAGTGACTGCCCAAGTGAAGCTCCTTGGAGAATTTTGAAGCCCAGGATCAGTCAAAGTCCTGCTTCTTACAACCACCTACTGTTCACAGCTGCAATTTGTGACTTTAAATTTGCTTTTTTCCTTTTTTGCCCATCTTTTCTCAGCACGTGGCGAGGAGATGGCCGGTGTGCAAACAATACATGTTGAAACACGAACACGTCCACATGCATGATGGTTGGGTCCATGCATGTGAATGATTACACACCTGTAACACAAGGAAGATGCACATCCATGCGTTGTGTATATTACGCAGGCCCGTTCACATGATGTGAGGCCACCGTACACACCAAACACCCTTGGGTAGGTCTGCGTTCTCATCCAAGATCATTAATGGGCAAAATCATCCCAACGAAGTGAGCCAAAAAAATCTGTTTGGCTTTGCAATAAAGTGCTGCTTGGCATAGGGGTTTTGGCAATACAGTACCTTTCTAGGGTTAGCTCGGGCTGATGTGGCTTCTCCTGCGCCGTCTCAGCTGCCAGAAATCAATCTCTGAGAAGCCGCCAGCTGCCAGGCTGCACTGGACCTCGAGACGTTCCTCTCCACTCCCCACAGCAGCCACCTGG